TGAAATGTAGACAAGGGACCCAATCCATGTAGGGGACCAAGGAGTGGGGATCTGGGTCTACCTTGTTAGCACAGCTGGATCTCATGAGTTCGGGGGTGCGAGGCGCGTACCTGAGCACTTGTGCGGACCCATTCAAACCTCACACAACAGGAACGGGGAGAAGGTGTGATTATTCCCACCCCCCTCACACTGATCCGGAGGAAATGGCCCGGCACGGAGAGCCGGGGTGAGGACCGCCCCCTCCCTCGGCGCCCCGAGCCGCGGCCTCACCCGCGTCTCCGCGCAGGCCTCGAACCGGAACCGGCGCAGGACGCGCAGCAGCGTCAGCTTGACCTCCAGCAGCCCCAGCCGCACCCCGAGGCAGCTCCGCGGGCCCGCCCCGAACGGCAGGTACGTAAAGGGACGTCGTCGTCGCTGCGCCTCGGCCTTGAACCTGCGGGGGGGGGGGGGCGGGCGGTCAGGGTAGGCACCGGGACACCCGCCTCCCTTCCCGGGGGTGGGGAGGAGGACCTCGTCAGCCACTCGCAGTGGCCGAGGGGCCCTTTCATCTGAGGCCGCGCTCCCAGCACATGGGCCTGAACCCCGTCTCCGGCAACAGAATCCTGTCCCCTCGGGCCCTCGAGCTGTCCCTGAGCTTCCATCCTGCCCTCTCCGCCATCCCGCAAAACCCTAGGCGGACTGCGAAGGAGAAGGATCACCTGGAAGGCCCTCTTGGCCCTACCCCCCACCCAAGAACTGATTGTGTTGTTAATGAACCTGAAGGCTCACTAGGATCCACCAGGATAAAAGTCTTAAGAATCCATAGCCCTCACCTGGGCCTGTAGCTCCAAATTCCCCATGAACCAGAGCGGGACACCAGGCGTCACCAGCTCCCTGAGCAGAATCCCTGGGGACCAGCCCTGCCTGGAGGCGGCGTCGTGCAGGTTTATCCGCGGGCTCCCCTGCCCACACTTGCCTCTCTGGTTCCAGCGGTGAAACTGGAACCACTGGGGGCTTTTTGTGTTTTGGCCAATGCAGGAATTCTACCTGCTGTCACATAGCATTTGCCACCTGTGCTCTGGGACAGTAGAGCTGGGTGCCCACACTGTCTTATAATAGCCAGCTCACTTCGGCTTCAGCCCTGGTGCTCGATATTCACTGTGTTCAGCGAGAAATTATTTATCTAGGTCCCGCTGCCCATGGCTTCCTAGGGGTGGGGTTTCTTTCCACAGGAATTTGAAATTCCTCAAGGTGGAAACAGGGTCTGTCTGCCCAGCCCTCCTCATTGCCAGATCACACCAGGAAGGGATAGCCATTGATTCGGATGAGGAGGGTGTGGATGCCTGCTCAGACATTTTCAACCCGGGAGCCTAGAAATGAAATGTAGACAAGGGACCCAATCCATGTAGGGGACCAAGGAGTGGGGATCTGGGTCTACCTTGTTAGCACAGCTGGATCTCATGAGTTCGGGGAGAAATTTCTGTGATTACTCTTGTTTTGGAACAAGCTCCAATTTTTTTAAAAAAAAGGAAATGTTTTGTTACGTTCCAGTGCACACCAGCAATTCGATCCTGTGTCCTGTTTCTTGGCTTGAACGGAGGACACCCGTTAGAAATTGACCTGTTACTTGCACGCAGGGCTGCTGAAACGCGAAATCTCTGCATTCTGTTCAGGGCTTTTAAAAATGGTACAGTTATGTCCTTTGGAAATTATGTCTCTCGAGTATCTATTTGCCATGACTTTTAACTGTTTGGGGACAACTTTACTAAATCTTTGTCTCCCCTTGGCTGCCTCCCCCAAGTGTCTTACAGTCGCGTCTCCCATTCGAAGGGACTGAGCTCACCTCTCCGGGTTGAAGGTCTCGGGTTGTGGCCAGTACTCAGGGTCGTGGTGCAGGGCGCCCACGGCCACCTCCACCACGGTGCCCGCGGGGATGTGTTGCCCCTGCACCTCGCAGTCCTGCGCCGCCTCCCGCGTGAACCTGTGGGGACACGTCGGTCACCCCTGCCTTGATGCACAGCAACAAGCAGGGCTTGCCGGCAGCGCGCTGGGGCAAGTGGGGTCTGAGCCTGAAGTGTGGATTGGGGGGTAGGGGGACAGGAGGCCCAGCCCCCTTGTAGGGGTGACCAGGATGGTTTCTACCCCCTGCCCCTTAACCTGCCCACAACCCTGAAGCCTCCAAGCTCCTTAGATTCCTTTGGCCCTCAGTGAATATGCCTTCATCCATCAAGCCTGAAATGTTCTCTTAGGCCTGAAATGTTCTCTTAGGGGGAGCACGGGCACCTTTGAAGGGCTTCTTCCTGTGGGGGGGCTTGCAGGGTTATGGCCCTGGTCACACTTTCCCTCATCTTCCGTCCATGGCTAAGCCTCTTTAAATGGCCCTCGCCCACTCCCTCGCTTTACCTAAAGGAAATTTGGGTTTGAGCATCTGATCTCCATTCATTGTCTGTGTCACTGTGGATAACTTCTACTGAGGACAGAACTTCTGGTCAGATTGTTTACCAAATGCCATGGCACAGTCCCTTTTACACTGTATTTTTAAGGGCCAGACTATAGATGTTTGCACACAAATATAAAATTTCTGGAAGAATACCTGAACTTCCACCATGATTTCTTCTAAGGGATGGGACTAGTCTGGAGGATGGCAGGGGACCAGAGGTGCCAACTTTTTCTTCAGATCCTTCTGTATTGTTTAGGTTTTTTTGGTTTTTGTATTTTTTTTTAAGTACAAGCCTACTATTTTCATAATACAGATAATTACTTTAAAAATTAAAAAATTATGCTGGCTTTTATTTCAAATTATAGGGCTGGACTTTCCTAAATATCTCAGAGGAGATAAAATTATTATACTAATTACCATTATATTCTGTTCTCGCTTATAAAAAAGAATTAAGAGCAACCCGAGGCTCCTGGCAGCCTTCATTACTCTGTCAGGAACCTTTAATATAACAAGAGAAGCCAGGACTTGTGGACTGCCATTCAGATCCTAAGCTACCAATGCTATTAATATGTGCTTAGAGCTGGTAATGAAACACCAGTGCTCAGATCAGAGCAAGCAGGTCGGGGGCTCTGATATGTGCAGCCTCGGTTCTAAAGGAGTCAAACTAGGCTCTACCCTGACATCCTCTTCTTTTTCATCTTTACTGGAAATTTCTTGGACCTGGATCCAAGCCCCCTAGAAGCCAGAAAATAGGGCTTTCCTTTCTGTACATGGTTGGGCCTCCTGTCTGGCTAGGCCAGGCCATATCCAAGGCCAGAAAAATCTGCTGAATTATACTGCATGGAATCCTGGATTCACATTAATAATACTTCAACAAGAGTTGGTATGTTTTCTACAGGGGCCATTCTGAGTTTTTTTTGGTGGATAATGGTGATCAGTCAAGGTTGGCGTCAGGGCCTGGGAAAAGCCAACGCACTTTTCTGAGATTAATATAATAAAGTAGAATAAAATAAATAAAATTCACATTCTATCTGTATTCACCCCCAAATCTGTTGCCTGGGCTGAAGCGAATTGGCCTGTCGTCTGGCGGAGAATAATGATGGCTTGGCTCTCTCCTTTCTGTAGGTGACATACGACGTAGAGTGTGCAGCTTTTCAGAAGTTTTGTCCCACTGTTTCTCACCACTCGTGGGGAGGGGGGGCGCCGAGCAGGCATTGTGTGCCCACTGAACACCCAGGAAGCAGAAGTACAGAACAGCACGGTGCTTACCCAAGGTCACACAGCCCACAAAGGGTGGAGGTGTGAGACTCTCGACTTTCTGTCTAAAGTTGTTCTGCAAGTACGGAGCACTGGTACTTTATGTGACTTGACGAGGGAGTCAACCAGTTCATCCCAGTTCCCTCATTTCTGTCCTGCCTGCAAGTGAGATCACCCACTGCTGGTTCCCTGGAGCCGTGTGGCCACCTTCTACGCGGTACTATTTCTAAAGTTTCTAAGGGTTACTCAGAGAATCGATCAGAGCATTTGGGTGTTGAAGAGCCTGTTCACTTTGTCACTCAGCGCATCCCTGCTACAAGGTCTCACGCGCCGAGTTCTTGATTGGGTTTAGATCCAGGAAAGGACCTGTCTTGGATCACTTTATAGACTTTCCTCCTGCCAGAGAATGCGCCTGTTCAACTCGGCTGGTTTTCCTCTCTGGCAGGAGCTGCGGCACCCGAGTGGGGACCTGGCCCCCGTTGTCGGCCCTCTCTGGGGTCCCGTAAAGGCTTCTACCCCCTGGACGGCCTTTGTTCTATCACTGAATGTCTTATTTTGAGCTTCATTTTAATGTGTATAGCAGCTGCCCACAGTTCCCTTGGAAGGAAGCTGGATATAAATCATTAAAAAAGCAAGGATTGGATGACGGTGTGCTCTGTGGCTTCCAAGGAAATCAGGGAAGGCCCACAGAATCGGTCTGAATGCCGGTGTCAGGAGAGTGGCCCGGCAAGTCCTGGGGTTTCAGGACCTCATGCTTGAGGACCATGTGATTCCACTCACATTTCTGGAATTCTCTATATTTGCTCCGGGTCCGAACACTTTGGACAATATCTATAATCACACTCTGTATGATGTTTTTGGTTTGGAATATAGTGAGATATCTTCAGAGCATCCACATTTTCTCTTTTAGAATGGCAAAAGATACCTCCCTATGGATGATGGGGTATACTAATTTTTAGACATGCAGAGTGGAACTTATGATAGGTTAAATGCTTTGTGTTGCTTCTTGTTTCTAGAACCTGAAATCTGGTCACTGTTTCCCTCCCTAAAGGCCTGGGGGCCCAAGTTAAGATCCTGTGCTCCATGTATTGCCTTATTTAAGGGAAGCTGGAAAGAAGCAGAAGACCAGATTCCTGCTTTCGAGGCACTTACGGGTTGGTGGTGTGAGCAGATGTCCACGGGCGAGATGTTGCAGAGGGGATGAGAAGTGTCTAAGAATGTAATAGGCAGTACAGTTTGCTCGAAAATGCTGGGGGAGGAGAGGCAAACTGCCCAGGGTAGCAAGTGTCAGGTTGGAGCTCAAAGGACGGGACAGGGGTGGGTGGCTGGAGAGTGAGGAGCAGCCTCCCAGACTTTGGAAGTTTCCCCCTGGAACGTCAACTCCAAGGGCAGGGGTTTTATCTGTTTTGTACACGGCCGATTTCCCCGTGCTTGGCCCAGCATTCGACTCAATAAATAGTTGCCAAATGAAAGAATGGACAAACAGATGAACAGGCAGGAGGACTAGCAAATGCCATTGAAGGCTAGGAGGCCAAGGAGATTGGCTTGGGTTGGGGAGGGAGGTCATGTTAAGAATAGACCAGTGACCCTTTGAGAAGGTAGTTAATGTAGAGGAAAATGAGCCAGCATTTACTGCTATGGTCACTCTATGGAAGGCATTGAAACCCAAGAAACCCAACACTCAGGCCTTGCCCTCCAGGAACCTGAGTCCAGCATTCTCAATAACGCAGGTGGTGACAGACCGAGGATTGGTGAGGAGCCTAGACAGTGATGTCCCGGAAGGGCCTTTGGGGTGCGGGGGCCTGGGCAGGGGGAGGGGTTGGGGGAGCTCAGGCATACCTGAAAGCCGGTGGGTAAATCCTCAAGGTCTCTGCGATCACCATGTCCAGGTAGGGCAGGCCTTCCTGGAGGCTGCTGTAGTCAGGGGCCGTCTGGTGGTGGTGGTGGTGGGGTGACAAATGAAGAAAGTTGAGTCACACTGAGTCCAACAGCTTTCTGACTTCTCCATTAGCTTTAGAGTCCTGCTCCGACTTAGCAGGCTCATAAACAGAGACTCGGCAAAATGCAGTCAGTACAATCCAAGCTGCGTTAGGTCAGCACCCTGCGTGTTCCCTCGGACTTGTGTCGTGGTGCTGTATGTTACTGCGGACCAGCCCGGCCAGCCTGGGACTTGGGGACCTTGGAGTGTCCTACAGAGAAGTTTGGTTCTAATGCAAAGGCAGCAGGCATAGCTGTGAGCATTTATGGAGAGAGGGTGGCGTGGTGGCTACATGCTGCAGAGACACGATCTGGCTTAATCCTCCCTGTGGACCCACGAGGCAGCCGTTCTCCCATCTCTCAGATGAGAAAACCGAGCCTCGGAGGGGTGACCACGGGGGCAGTAACTGGTACATCATAAAGTTAATGCAGCGTGAAATCGCAGAAAAAGAAAAAAAAGTTCTAGTGACATAAAAGATGCATAGTGACAAAACCCAAAGAGGCATTCTAAGTCAGTAAGAAAAGAAACTCATTAGGAAAATGGGCAAAGGTTATGAATGGGCAGAGCATAGAAAGAGAAATAAAGTTGCCATGATGAAAAATACAAATGAAGACAGGAGATTTTGCTCTTCAATCAGGTTAGGAAAGGTCGGGAAATGCGGATTAGATACTCAAGGGCAAAGGCTTGGAGAAGCATGACCCAGCATCCTGTGTTGGGGGGACCCCAGGGTCCCTTGGACAATGCCCACTGGAGTGACACTGTCACCCTCACCGTCACCCCTGGCCTGGGGAGGAGGGACACATGGGATGTGAGCTGGGGAGCAAGATGGGGGGGAGGGTTAGAATGGGGTCATGGAGGCTTATTCACAGCTCTGCTGGGTTTCCCCAAGTCCTCCCACTCACCCCACTCCCTACAGAGCCAGAGTGCATCACCTGCTTGGTTGGTGACCACCTTCTTTCTTTCAACCAGATAGTGCTGCTGCAAGAGCAGTCCTCAGCTTGGAGGTTTGCTTCCTTTGACCCCCCCTCCCAGGGCAGCAGAGGGCAGCACTGGGGGCAAGTCCAGGCTGCAGGCCCCCAGCTGTCCACGGAGGGGCCCTGAGTGGCCCTTGCCTCAGAGAGCCATTCTTGGGCTTGCAGCTGGCCACACCATGCCCCTCATGGGTCTAGTGGCTAGCAGAAGGGGGCATGGTCCCCAAACACGCGTGAGGGTCTGGCTCCCCAGACCACGCAGTACCCCCTTGCATGGGGGAGTGCCTCCTTGGGGACCCTGGGGCACCTCTCTTCTTTCTAATGCTTAGTAGTTTGATTTGTGCTTGTTTCTTCTGGCCTGTGAGTCACAAAATACAAATTGTGTAATTTCAGTGATTTTGCATGTGAGTTAAATGCTCTGATATTTACATTTAAAACTGGCATTGCGTGATGTAAAGGTGAATGGTAAGATTCATGCTAAAGAAAAAGAAGAAAGGGAGAACCTCTGTATCTACTGTTAATGGCACTTGCCCCTGCCTTTTGAGTGAGGGGCCCCATAGTTCCGTTTTATGTCAAAGAATGGTGGAGTTGGCCATGCAGGGCCATGGTTGATTGGCCCGAGGGTGAGCCTCTGACCCAAGGGCACCAGTCTGGAAATTTGGATCTAGAGAAAAGGAGTTTTTCTTCCACCGGGTGGAGCCTGAACACTGGTGAGTCATGATCTATTGGTGACCATGTTCTGCCTTGTGGATGAATGAGCAGAAAATTCCAGTTGGCTGTGAGAAAGAAGAAATGAATTAAATGTGCAGAGAGAGGCAGAGGCAAACGACAGAGAGAGACACCATTTCCAGGTGTCCCTTAGGGCTCCAGTTTCTGTTTGCAAGTAGCCCCATGGGTGGTGGATCAGAACTCTTAAAGCACTTTCTCGTTTATGGCCTCAGTTAGCAACAGCTGAATTCTGTTATCTGCCACCAAAGGAGACTTAACAAATGCTGAAAATGTTAAGTAAATAAATAAATAAATAAGAAATGGTGGTATTGTGTACCAAAATATAGAACTAAATCTCAAAAAGAAAAAAACAAAAACAGAAAAACAGATCTGCAAGCAGCGTCCCTAGCCGTAAATGGTATTGGTTCCCCAAACAAAATTTGTGATTTAGAAGCTATCAGCATTTGTCAGAGAAAGAAAGCCTTTAAAAGCAGGCTAAGGGAATTTGATATTATAAAGTCAAAGTCTTCATTTATTCTTTCTCTGGATGAGCTTTCTACTGTGCTTCTAAGCTTTTGGCTCAAGATACACATGTAAATATCAGCTTAGTCCAGTGGTTCTCCGTGTGGCTGAACATTAGAAGCAGTGGGACGGCTTTTAATATATAAGGATTCATCTCTCGGTTTGAAGTGGGGCCTGGGCACCAGTTCTCCTTTTGAAGCCCTCCCCCCAACCTCACCCCCCCACCAGCAGTTGTAAGGTGAGCCCTGGGGAGAGACCACTCACTGCCTTAGTCCTTCTGCGATCTACCCCAGGGATCCTTCCTGCGGGAGAAGTGGGCAGATGGGGTGGAGGGAGGCTCACGCCTGCACATTTTAATCAAACCCAGGTGAGGCAATGAAATTCAAGTCCCTATCCCACTGACAGACCATCCACCCATCTGGACCTTTGGCTCCCTGAGTCCTTTTCAGGAAAATCAGGGATAAAGGGGTCCTGCACCAGTCCCACCAGCAGAGGGCAGCAAGTGCATGGCAAATGGGGACTCCCCAGCAATGCTGGGCCCCTACTCAGAATCGCAAATTATACCCCAAAAAGACTTAGGAATCGTGAATCCAAATTCTTCATTATGGAGATGAGAAAAATAAGACCCAGAGAGGAAAGCCTTCGAAGCCAAAAGCACACAGATAGAACTTGAAGTAGAAAACCCATGTCCTTACACATTTAGCAGTCCCTCCATAAGCCCCTACTGCCTGTCAGGTGCAGGGCAAGGTGCTGAGGATCCAAAAATGATCAAGTCTCTGCTCTTTGGTGAAGCTGCCTTCTATGCAAATCATTATACTGACTGTGGAACGTGTTCTAGAACGGACTTAGGAGGAATGGGAAACAGAGTTCTGTTTGAGAACTCATTCACTCATGTATTCATTGGACACATGCCGAATTGGTGCATACTGTTGGCCAGGCACTGTGCTAGGCACAGGGCACATGCCTTTGACACATGGGGACCCTCCCCACCCTCCTGGACCTCACCGTCCGTCTCAGGATGCAAAGCAATGGGGAGGGTTAGAGAGTGGTGAGCACAAGGCTCTGTGAGAGAACAGAGGACAGACATCCCAGGCATTCGGGACTGGGGAAGCTAAAAAAAGGAAGTGATGCCTAAACTGAGATCTTTAGGATGAATAGAAGAAGCCAGTGAAAAGTGGGTGGGCTTGTTTGGATGCTGGTTCAAACAAACCCATCTAAAAGAAAAAAAAAAAATCCATGAGTCCATCACAGGACCCTGACCCCTGATGGTGTTCAATTCGATACACTTAGGAAATTATGGTTCATTTGTATTTAGTGTGATGATGGTATGGTGGTCCTGTTTTAGAAAAGAGCCTTTGTATTTTAGAAATACAGAATGAAATATTACCGATGACATGATAGGACATCTGGGATTTTTAAAAAAACAAAACCTGGAAGTGAGGGAAGGTGGGGAAATGGATGAGAGCAGAGGGGTCGCAGTGGACTCTCATGGACACTGAGTGAGGGGAACAGAGTTCTCCCAAGTGGTCTTCTAATTTGTCTAGGTTAAAGTTTTCCTTCAAAAAGAAAAACTGAAACACTAAATAGCAATGTAAATAACAGTAGTGTGTGGAGTAGCCCCATGCAAAGACTTAGAGCTGCACTAAAGAATTAAACATGTTTAAAATAGCAGCGCCATCCTCGCAGGCAGGAGCCTGGGAGCTGGGAGCTGCGCTTTCTGGCCCAGCCCCTCACTGTCGCCCTTGGCGCTCAGACCCTCTGTGCTGGTAAGGGCTGAGGAGGGTCCGCTTGGCCTGAAACGTCAGGAGAACCCAGAGGGGGTTCTGAGCAGAGTATCCTCTCATTTCAAGCCAGGAAGCACTTTAAGCATCTGTGTTTCCAGAAGATAATGTTAAAAAGGGATCCCTGAGGGTTGTCCCTGACTCCTGTTGCATGGCCCATAGTACTCAGAATTAGAATCAACCTGTCCTGCCTCCCACCCAACGGGGATGCTGCTGCAGCCTCTCTCCCTGACCTTGGCCATGCCTCGGGGTGGTCACTGGGTCCAGCCAGGTTCTCCGTCCTGGATCCATCGCCCAGCAGCTGTGGCCTGGGGCCGGCTGCCAAGGCGACATCAACAGGTCACCGGGCCTGTAAGTTGGGGTCATGCCCAGCTCTCAGGGCAGGGCGAAGGAGACGGTAAGGTGACGGGTCCCTGGAAACCGTAATGCACCCAATGAGCAGATAATCCTTCTGTTTGAATGTATTCGTTGGCAGGGAGCTCATTTCATCATCAGGCCTTCTGTGGCACATATTAAAATGACTCTGTAAGGGCGTGTTAAGGAAGAAAGTGATTTTAAAATCCTATAGAACTTATTTCAGCTGGGACTTATTTCATGAAATAACTGCACTCTTAGAAGGTTGAAAATAGATATTAAATATTTATTATTATGCGATAGTGGGAAATACTGATTAAATAGTAAATATTTGATTGCTAAATATTGGGGAAAATATAGATTAAAACATAAACTGAATCTTTGCCCCATGGTTTATATTCTCAATCCAAAGTTCCTTAATTTTCCAGAAGATTTTTTCCATCTATATTTGATTTTCAGTGGGCAGTAACTTCTAATTTTATTTCTAAGGTCCTTGGTCTCTTAGTCTTTTTATCACATAGCTTAGATCTGTAAACCAATATTTAAATGTGATGGATAAACCTGATGGTTAAGGGAACCTCATGGAAAATCTATGGGTAAATCCTTTTAAATAAGAA